CTTCGTGAACAAAATGCCTCCTACTATAGCCAAATATTTCTAATTTTGACACATCAGTCCATAGAAGCTGCTGCCCTTTTAATGCACTAAGTTCCTATGTTTTCATGCACAGTTGAGTTACCTAGCCTTGTTTCCACATCTGATGTATGGCTTTTTTGGCCACAATTCTTCCATGAAGACCATTTCTGGCCAGACTGCTCTTGATAGTAGATGAGTATACCTGGATCCCACTAGTTTCTACCAGTTCTGTACAGATGGCACTGCTGGACATATTCCAATGTCGAAGGGAAGTAAGCATGATGTGACTTTCATCTGCTGCATTTAGTTTCTGTGGCTGACCACTGTGTGTACAGATCTACGTTGCCACTTGCTTTGAGCTTCTTTAAAATAGCTTGAACAGCACACCTTGAAACCCCAGTCTGCTTTGAAATCTTTGCCTGGGAGAGATCTTGCTGATGCTGTATAACTACCTTGTGTCTTGTGCTCAGTCTTGCCATGGTGTGTGACCTGTGACATAAAACAGCCTTCCACAACTTCACCTTAGTAGCAGAGTTTGGCTGTTTCTCACACAGTTAGAAGCAGGGGCAGACTGACAACTCATAGGGCCCCCAGGCAATAAGATAATGGGGCCCCCTGTGTCTCCACCTACACAAGCCACACCCACACAACACCCCACCTATATATTGCATCTCAGCTGCACAGAAAGGGCATTAAAAATCATTTAAAACAATAATAAAACATTGTGGGTTTTGTGGGGAACCTCCATGCCAAAATTTAAAAAAAAAAAATGGTGTGGATCCATACCAGACCCTTATCCGAGCATGCAGCCAGGCAGGTCAGGAAAGGGGGGAGGGACAAGCGAGGGCCCCCCTCCTGAACCATACCAGGCCACATGCCCTCAACATGGGGGGGTGCTTTGGGTGGTCCCCCCAAAGCACCTTGTTCCCATGTTGATGGGGACAATGGCCTCTTCCCTACAACCCTGGCCTGTGGTTTTTGGGGTCTTCGGGAAGGGGGCTTATCAAAATCTGGAATCCCCCTTTAGCAAGGGGGCCCCAGATCCCAGTCCCCCCATGTGAATGAGTATGGGGTACATGGTACTCCTACCCGTTCAAACACAAAAAAAAAAGTGTAGTGTAAAAAAAAAAAAAGACAGGAGACAGTCTTTTACAAGTCCTTCATTAAAAGAAGAAAAATAAAAGAATGTCCCCCGAAGTAGATTCAATGTCAGTCATGATGCCCACCGCATGTGGCCTGGTATGGTTCGGGGGGGAGGGGCTCACTTGCCCCCCCCCACTTTCCTGAACTGCCGAGCTGCATGCTCGGATAAGGGGTCTGGTATAAATTTTTTTTGGAGAAGGGAACCCCCACTCCATTTTTTTTTTTTTTTTTGGCATGGGAGTTCCCCTCAAAATCCATACCAGACCCGAAAGGCTTGGTATGGATGGAGGGGGGACCCCACGCCGTTTTTTTTAAATTATTTTTTTAATTGCCGGCAATTATTTTACATTCAGCTGTCAGTGTGGAACCCCACTGACAGCTGAAATATTAACACATGGTTTTCACTATTAAAATACTGCATGACTTGATAAAATAACTCATGCGGTATTTAAGTAGTGATTTTTGGTGAATTCAAACTTTTTTTTTTTTAAATGCTATGCGGTATCCTACCGCATACCCAGATGTGGTAAGATACCGCTTAGTGAATTGTGCCCAGTGAGCCTCTCACCGGGTCCCCTACTGGCCTTTGGGCAATGCCCAAATGGTCAGTCCACCCCTGGTTTGAAGCCTCCTATTCATGGTGGAGCTGGGCACAAAGGGTGAGCATAGTCAGGAACTCTTGAAGAGAGCCTGTAACAGTTAAGTTTTATTAACCCCTGCCACACTGGAAGATTATGGTAGGTGGGGTAGGAAGCAAGAATGAAGGAAGATTTCAACTAAAAGAAAGAAAAATCAGCATTCCTATGGAATGTCAGTTATGTCCCTTGCACTGATTTTTCTGTTTTTAATTTTAGCCATACTTCGGCTTTAAGGCCCAAAAGAAGTTACAGAAAGATATTCAGTTAGATGGACTCTTTATTAAAAGCATACAGTTTAGTAGACTATTCCCTATTTTCCTGCCATAACAGCTGTGCAGTGAAATGAAGTAGGACTGTGCAATCCAATAAGCACCAGTGTTTGACCTAGGTCAAAAGTGTTAATCTAACAGACTTTTTGTGATATGGCTCTCTCTTTCTCAGCAGTATGAGTCTGTGTAAATGCATTTGGGATGAGAGGTGTGGCGGTACTTTCCCAAGCCAGCATAAAACTCTGGAGTAGCAAGAGCATTTCCAATAAAACAAAATATTTCCAAGTGAAAGTTAGTTAATTATAACATAAGTCAGTAGTGGGCAGCACAGTGGCTAAATGGTTAGCACTTCCGCCTGGCAGCACTAGTGTTGTGGGTTCGAATCCCAGCCACGGCACCACCTGCCTAGAGTTTGCATGTTCTTCCTGTGCCTGCGTGGGTTTCCTCTGGGTACTCTGGTTTCCTCCCACACTCCAAAGACATGCTGGTAGGTTAATTGGATCCTGTCTAAATTGGCCCTACTGTATGTATGAATGTGAGTTAGGGACCTTAGATTGTACACCCCTTGAGGGTTAGGGACTGATGTGAATGTACAATATATATGTAAAGTGCTGTGTAAATTGATGGCGCTATACAAGTGCCTGAAATAAATAAGTAGAGGATATGAGACACAAATGGGTGAGGCTTTGAGGGGTCATAATAACAAGCAATTCTAACAACCAAAACTGCTCAATGAAAAATTCAAGCTTTTTGAAAAATCTCCACGAGGTGGGGTTAAGCCTTCGCTCGTTCCATAGAAAAAAGGGTTAGGCTCTGTTTACACCTATGCAGTTTGCTTTTTGTCCGTTTTACAGTGCTTTTCAGAGTTCATTTTGCATTTTTTCACACGCGTTTTTACCAGGTTTTGCTCAACTTTTTTTTTTGTTAAAGTGGAATTTTTTTGTTGCTGGGCAGAATAAAAATGCAAAACACTGCAAAAGTACTACCATGCATTTCAGCAGTTTCTCCATTGAACTCTATTGTAGCAAAAACGCTGCTTTTTGCTTTTAAAAAAAGTCCCTGACCCCTTCCAAAAATGCAGCAGCTCAAAAAAGCATGCATGTGAACATGTTCCATAGGAAACCATGTTAAGTGGACTGTAGTGAGTTTCTGCAAAAAAGCACTAAAAACCGCATTGGTGTGAACGGAGCCTTAAGCTTCTATCAGCAGAGTTGCAAGGTGAAAAATATTGGACATCGGAAGGTCTAAGAGAGAGCACCTCTCCCAAGGTCCCTCATTCTTTGAGAGATGTAGACTGCTGACCTTTGCAAGCACTGTAATCATGCTGATTTATTAAGTAATGTACTGTATATAGCAAAACAAAAAAGTAGTGTTTTCATTGAGCTAACAGACATAAAAAGCAGTTCTTTGAGAACATAGAGTACCCAATAATTGAAGATTTATTAATTTCAGGAACTTATGTAGCGCCATCAATTTACGCAGCGCTTTACATATATATTGTACATTCACATCAGTCCCTAACCCTCAAGGGGCGTACAATCTAAAGTCCCTAACTTACATCCATACATACACATACTAGGGCCAATTTAGACAGTTTCCAATTAACCTACCAGCATGTCTTTGGAGTGTGGGAGGAAACCGCAGTACCCGGAGGGAACCCACGCAGGCACAGGGAGAACATGCAAACTCCAGGCAGATGGTGTCATGGCTGGGATTCGAATCAATGACCCTAGTACTGCCAGGCGGAAGTGCTAGCCATTTAGCCACTGTGCTGCCCAAGATGAATTCTTACTTCGCAAACTTACTAAAAAAAAAAAAAAAAAAAAAAAAAAAAAAAGCAAAACAGTAAACCAACTTAACTATACCTCTAGAATACTAGTATAATGGACAGTGCCATATTGCATTATTTAAATAAATACATATACTCTCACCGGCCACTTCATTAGGTACACCTTGCTAGTACCAAGAAAATCCCCCACACCATTACACCACCACCACCAGCCTGAACCGTTGGCAGGATGGATCCATGCTTTCATGTTGTTTAGCCAAATTCTGACCCTACCATCTGAATGTCACAGCTGAACCAGTCTGCCCATTCTCCTCTGACATCAACAAGGCATTTTTTGTCCACACAACTGCCGTTCACTGGATATTTTCACTTTTTCATACCATTCTCTGTATACCCTAGAGATGGTTGTACATGAAAATCCCAGTAGATCAGCAGTTTTTGAAACACTCAGGCCAGCCCATCTGGCACCAACAACCATGCCATGTTCAAAGTCAATTAAGTCTTTCTTCCCCATTCTGATGCTCGGTTTGAACTTGAAAAAGTCGCTTTCACCATGTCTGGAGTTGCTGTTTGGCAATTTTTGTTACCAAGCAATTGAAGAACAGGTGCACCTAATAAAGTGGCTGGTGAGTGTGTGTGTGTATATACCGTATTTTTCACTCCATAAGATGCACCTAGGTTTTAGAGGAGAAAAACAAAAAAAAAAAATATTCTGAACCAATGGACTGCGGACACAGTACAGGAGATGACCAGAGACTGCGGACACAGTACAGGAGATGACCAGAGACTGCGGACACAGTACAGGAGATGACCAGAGACTGCGGACACAGTACAGGAGATGACCAGAGACTGCGGACACAGTACAGGAGATGACCAGAGACTGCGGACACAGTACAGGAGATGACCAGAGACTGCGGACACAGTACAGGAGATGACCAGAGACTGCGGACACAGTACAGGAGATGACCAGAGACTGCGGACACAGTACAGGAGATGACCAGAGACTGCGGACACAGTACAGGAGATGACCAGAGACTGCGGACACAGTACAGGAGATGACCAGAGACTGCGGACACAGTACAGGAGATGACCAGAGACTGCGGACACAGTACAGGAGATGACCAGAGACTGCGGACACAGTACAGGAGATGACCAGAGACTGCGGACACAGTACAGGAGATGACCAGAGACTGCGGACACAGTACAGGAGATGACCAGAGACTGCGGACACAGTACAGGAGATGACCAGAGACTGCGGACACAGTACAGGAGATGACCAGAGACTGCGGACACAGTACAGGAGATGACCAGAGACTGCGGACACAGTACAGGAGATGACCAGAGACTGCGGACACAGTACAGGAGATGACCAGAGACTGCGGACATAGTACAGGAGATGACCAGAGACTGCAGACAGTACAGGGAATGACCAGAGACTGCAGACAGTACAGGGAATGATCAGAGACTGCAGACAGTACAGGGAATGATCAGAGACTGCAGACAGTACAGGAGATGACCAGAGACTGTAGAAAGTACAGGGGATGACCAAGAGACTGAAAACAGTATAGGGGATGACCAGAGACTGTGGACCTTTAGGGAGGGATAGGGAGCGGGTACCTGAATTTGACAGGAACCCGCTCCCACTTCCGCGGAGTTGTCCTCCCTTTATTGCGCTGTCATGTGTCCCAGAAGACGCTGGACCATTCACAAAGCGCAGCGCTTCTCGTGCATGCGCAGTGGGCACACAGCTGTCACAGATGCTGGCGCGGAAAGACTGCGCAGCACTGGACCGAGGAACAGGTAAGGTCCTGCATCAGAGAACAGCTGAGCGGCCGGCCCGGTATTATGACATAGTGGCGGCGGAAATACCGGACCGGCCGCTTTATATTCGCTCCATAAGAAGCACTGACATTTTCCCCCCTTTTTTGGGGGGAAAAAAGTAAAAAAAAAAAAAAAAAAAAAAAAAAAAAAAAAAAAAAAAAAAAAAACAAAAAAAAAAAAAAAAAAAAAAAAAAAAAAAAAAAAAAAAAAAAAACAAAAAAAAAAAAAAAAAAAAAAAAAGCGTCTTATGGAGTGAAAAATACGGTATATTTTATATATATATATATATATATATATATATATAATAATATAGTAATATCTATACTGTATATTATATATAATATTTCGATAAAATGAACTTTACAGCTGGGGTCTTTGCGATGAGTGTAATAGCTAGCCTAACTAATAACTAAAGAACCTATTTATAGAGCTTGCTGTGATGGGAATATGAAATCAGGTAAGCTGAGCAGTATTGAGAAATCTCATTCATCTAAATCCAGAATAATTGAGCTATATATAGCAAAGAGTGCTACTATCTACGGCCTTTTTAGTGTACAAAAAGAATTCATCACTCTGTTAGCGTTCTGTCTTATCATGGTTCTAATTAAGGGATCAAAGAAATACCACTGTCCCCCTCATTTGTTTATGTTCTGCCCTGAAAAGGACACCATACATCTATGTGACAGCTAGTCATTACAGCTTCATATGATCAGACAGACCAAAGTAGTGCCAAACTCTTTGCTTAATAATCGTCTCGCTGGCAGGAGCCAAGGATTTAAGACCATGCAATGATCTTGTCCCCGTATTCCACTTTGATAAATAGAACATCTAAAATGTAGTCTGATGTCTCATTTTCTATGATATTGTTATTAGCATTTTGTTTCTGTGGATTTACAGAGAGAGATAAGAAGAAAATATGTTGTAGGAATTTGGATTCAACATGGATGTCAAAACTTAAATCACTTAAAAATATATATGGGAGGCTAGCCTGGCTGTAGAATTGATTTATATTTAAAGTGATTACTATAAGACATCACCCTGTTAGTAGAATAAACCCTTATTTATACCCTGTTAGCCAGCCCACCATGCTGGAAAACAGACCCCCAAACCAGATCATTCAAACTGCATCCCATATCTCATCCAAACTTAACCCTTGTCAACCATCTCCACCTTATCAACTTAATGGGGAGGTTTCTTGTCCTTTCCCTTCTGCAGTCAATGACTCAGACTGTTAAATTATGGAATCAGCTATTTTGGGGGCCTAAAGTGATGGTAAACCCCAGGCATAAAATAAGAACAAAGCATATCCCGTTATAATGTGTACTTGTCTCAATTAAGAGCACTAAATGTCATTTTTGTCTGTTGCTGTGTTCCTCTACTATCAGCATGAATCAATTCTGATAAGTTTTCCTGACACCAAGAGCAAAATGGTGACAGAGGAGGGACCTCTAGCAGATTGACAGCCTCAGTTCTGTTCCTGTGTGCTGTGTGGAGGAAGGTGTGTCCCTTCCCTCCAATCAGCTCTCAGAGCTCTCCTCACTGAGCTTTGCAGAGTGTAACTTCAGCTCTCCGCCCCCTTTTTTCCTGAACTCACAGAGAAGCTTTATAAATTCAGCACTGTCTGCAGTCTTCTCTTATTTACAGCCACTCAGACAGGTACAACTTATGTCAGAGGATTTGTTTTATCTCAGTGTATCACCTGAGGCCAGTCACTTCATTGGGTATATGTAAGGGTCCACAACCACTTTAACCGCTTCCTGTCTGCCCTTTTGCAGAAATACTGCTAAACGGCGGCACGGGTGTGCAAAATCACGTATATATATATATGTGATTTTTGACTTCCGAGTAGATGGTGTGCGCTAGATGCATGGGCGCCTTACCCGCACCACCAATCGCGGCCGTGGCTGTCAATCACCGGGTCCTGGCCGATAATTACTCGCCGGCGCCCAGTGATTTCCAAAGATCTCCAACAGGGAAGAGGACTGTTTTGTTTACTAACAGTCCTCCTCCCTGTCAGCTCGGGCACACTGCTCTGGATGGCTGTGCACAGCACTGAATCAAATTCATTACTCTTGTGATTTGGATACATCCGAATCCCCAAATAACACAAATTTTGTCCAAATTTCTATTTGTAATGGAACAAATTGCACATGTGTACTGATCAGCTACCATGCACAGCTGCACTAGATTTTGTACTCTCCAGTTTTAGTAAATTTCCCCAATAGTAGTGTAGTACATCTGCCATGAGACTCTCAAACACCTTTTTAGTGACTTCAGACCAGACTCAGGAAACAGTTAACCTGCTTTACTGAAAGCTTCTGCAGCATAAAAGGTGAAAGTGTAAACACAGTTCAGACAGTCTCATCCCTATCTACCCGTTCTGGTGTGTGGCTGCCCAGGCATACCTTTCTAGGTGAGAGTCTATTATTTGGTACAAGTACATGCTGTGGCAGGAGAGCCCCAGGGAGCTCCAGGGTGGCTGTTGGCTTTAAACAGTTACCTCTTCTGTGAGCTTCTTGCATCCATTCCCATGATGCTAGAGTTGGAGCTGCATGAACTTAGCATAAAACAACCCAACCACCTCATTTCAATGCCCGTGTGAACAAAGCTATAGTGAAAAAGTAATCCTCATGCTCCAGCAAAACCAGATTCCACTGATTTATAGGTGGCAACGTTTGGAAGTCGTCATTTTTGAATACTAGCCAATTTCTCATGTTTAGATTTTAGACCCAGCACAGTGGGAAGGATGGAACATTTGCTTGCAGTGCTGTGTCATCTCTGCTGTCATTCATGCACTTAAATTATACTTAAAACAAGAAAAACAACTTTCATGGATTTATCATTTGTGCTGTCTGTCTTCTTAAAAACAGAATAATGCTTACATGCCTTAAAGTCTTTAAGACTCTTGTATAACAAAGCCGATATTTTACTTTCAATTTGCATCACACAAGAAGCAATTGCAACACATGGTTCTGCTATCTGTACTTTAAAAATTCCAACTGCTGAAGGGTTTGAAAATAATTAAAAGTCTCTTTTTAAGAGAAATAATGAATCATACTAAGGATTAGAGATGTTTTGTCATGAAACAGCAGGAGGATACAGCTTATGCATTGTTAAAGGACTGTGGAACACATATGAATCTCTATGGCAGAACGACATTAATCGATTAAACAAAAAATGTATGTGCAGAAAATAGATGACTTTGGTATTTTTTCAACATGCAAATAAAATGTAACTGATTTATCAAAAACAGAGAGAGAGAAAAAAAAAGAAAGAAGGACAGAGAGGGGGAAAGAAAGAGAGGGTAAAAAACGAGAGAAGGAAAGAGAGAGCAAGCGAAAAAGAGAGGGAAAAGAAGAGCAATAGCGTGGGAAAAAGAGAGAAAAAAAAGAGGGAAAAAAGGGAAAGAGAGAAAAAGAAAGGGGGGGAGAAGAAAAAGTAAGAGAAAGGGGGAAAAAAAAGAAAGAAAGAAAAAAGTAAAAAAGAGAGAGAGAGAAAGGGAGGGGTGGGAAGAGGGGGGGAGAGACAAAATGGGAAAAGAGAGTGAGAGAGAAAAACAGAGAACATGAAAAAGAGAGATGTAGGCAGGTTGCTAGACAGTTGGCTGGCCCAGGATAGGGAAGTGGTTAATGGTTTTTGCCGCTGTTCCCAGGTATTTAGCGCACAGTCTATATAGTTAGTGTGTATATATATATATATATACACACACACATATATACACACACACACACACACACACACACAAAAAAAACGTGATTTCCAAGTTGGCACAAATTCTCTCTTTACTTCAAATGTATCTTCATACAAATTTTAGAGCAACTGCACAGTTTCAAGCATAACACTGCTCTTCATCCAGCTACAATTGTAGCTTGATGTTATGCTTTAAACTGTGCAGTCATTCTAATGTTTGTATGAAGATACATTTGAAGTAAAAAAAGAATTTTTGCAACTTGGAGGTCTCATTTGCATTTGTTTTTGGATGTTTTACTTGGATGGAATTATGGGAGCCCATCGTTAATGAGATCTCCAACAGATAAGATTTGCAATACAATAGGCGTTACCTGCCCCAAGTCTTGAAAAAAAAAAAAATATATATATATATATATATATATACATATATATATATACATACATACATACACATACATACACACATACATACATACATACATACATACACACATATACATATATATATATATATATATATATACATATATATATATATATATATATACACACACACATATGGGAAGGCTAGGTCCGAAGACTCTTGCCTAGCAAGATGCCATGTGGTTGCGTAGCTACAGAGGGGGGGTGCTATGCTCTACAGTCTACTAGAAGATGCTGGAGAACTGGCAATCATCGGAAATGCAGGGGATGGAATAACACCCATATACAGTATGCCTGGGCTGCCCAGTTGAGTTAGTTAGAAAGTTATGTTGTACTATGTTTCAAAGTCATTGGTAAAAGTTGCATCAACAATTCTAAGGCTGGTCTGACATTACTCTAAATGGGTGCATGATGGTTCCTGGTGTATAAAAGAACGTAGGTCTCAAAGACTCTCTATACGCATACATAGAATGGACCACTATGGAGCTAAAAGAATGAGTGGGCAAACTCAAACACTGTCACCGTAGTTACAAAAGGCAGTTTTTAATATGGCAATGATAACTGTCAAAACATTGCTTTACTAGAGGTGAAAGAATTTTGGGAAATCAGCTTCCCTAGCATCCAATTTTCCCCCTGCATCTTAGGTTTGTTTTTCCATCAATTCCTACCTAATGCTGCAAAAACCTGAAGTGGAATGTTCTTCCTGACACCTATGACCTGAAAGAAAATTAGGCAGCCCATACATTCATCACTTTTTTTTTCCATTCAGCCGATTCCTCTATCCACACATTCGATGTGGATGGGGGAATACTTGCCTCTGTGCTATTGTAATTTTCTTCTACTAAGAAAAAAAAATGAAAATAAAGAGAAAATACAGAGAAACAAAAGGAAAAG